GATAATTGAAATGTATCATCCTCACTATCTCATACCTCTGTGCCAGGCTAGTCATCTGTTTTGCAAACTTTGCATACAGTTCTTATTTTTGTACATGTGTTCTGTAGTATAATACCACAATAATATTGCTTCTATTTCTGTTTCCATTTATTTCCACCCAAAGCTCTCCACCATGATTCCTGGCTCTTGTTTCTGAATTTCCTCATATAAATGTTTCTTCCTAATATATTGCCATATAGGGCTACTCCAGCTAAGCCCCTTTTTACCTATCCTGTTTCTTTTGAATAAAGTATTTGCTTTCAGAACTATATTCCATTCCTAGGTCATTTGATCACATTGAAGTGACATATATGAGCTCAAATTTGCCTCTTCAAACTGGGATATATAGTTCAACTTGCTTGTTATACATACTTTATGAATCTGTATATAAATGTCCAAGACCATGTTTTATTTTGTTTTAATTATCGGCTCCTTTCTTGTATTTTACCTTTGGTAGACTTCTGGATGTCTCTATTGTTACTATTATTCCTATGTTATAGTTCTTCTTTATGGTATTTAGCTTGGTGGATGAATGTAGTTTTCGCTTCCCCTCTTTCTTTTCAGTTTAAAATTCTTTTAATTAGATTTTAAAGACTCAAAGCAAATATTTTCTTACCAGTCCTTGTTAGATCCACTTTATCCCTGATCAGCAATCTATCATTCTTATATTTAAGCCATGACTCAGAACTATAAATCCTCTTCTCAGATCTCTTCTTAAATAGCTGATTACTTCCCAAATATACTTTTCTCTTCTGAATCCCTTGCCTTCAGCAATAAAAACATCATTTACATAGTTAAGGCCTTTAGGTTTTGTCCAATGTTTCAAAATATTTCTAGATAATTTTGATTAATGATTGATGATTTCAAAATTAGTCCAGATGCCTTTCTCCAGTGTCATTGTACCCATATGAATCTCTAAAAGTGGGGAGTAATCACAATGAAGGTACCAACGTAAATAGGAGTTACAAAGACTGAGCTTTAGAGGAATGACTCTTGGCTATTAAAGAGTTAGAGCTACAAGACAAAACCCCATTATCACAATAATTGGGATATCAGAGAAGGAATAAATGAAAGAATTCAAACATAAGCAACCAGTTTTTAGAAGTAAGGTACAAGGTCAGAATAGAATCTTTTGTATTCAAAGCTGAAGATACTTAGTCAATAAGCTGCTGACATGGGATTCCTTCCCATGCATAATTGGTCCCAGAATCTGGTGTGAAACTGAACCTACAGAAGAAAGGTATTTGGTTCCACCTTTAAAAGTTAGAGAGATAAAGAGGCAAGTATTGAAGCAAGCCATTGTAACATCTTTATTCAGAGGTCTGAAGATTGCAACCATCTATAAGATTATTGTAAACTCAGAAATAAATGAGAACTCTGAAGAAACTAACTCTGAACAAAATAACTTATTGCAAGGTCCACAAATTTAACTAGCAGCAGCTAGGCAGTTCAGTAGATAGAGTGCTAGAACTGAGTTCAAATTCAGTCTCAGACACTTACTATCTGTGTGACCTTGGACAAGTCTCTTAAATTCTATCTGCCTCAGTTTTCTCATCTACAAAATGAAGATAATAATGACATCTACCTCACAGGATAGTTATGAGGAAAATATGAGACAATATATGTAAGGTGTTTAGCACAATGTAATAGGTACCATATAAATGCTAGCTATTGTTATTAGGGAGTGGGTAAAATAAGGCAGAAAATTAGATGTTGGAAGGATATACTGAAAACAGGAAGAAGTGACACAATAATAGAAGCTAAAAACTATGAAAAGAAGACAGGAAATTTCTATTATATAAATCAAAAGTCCTACACACATCATTGTTACTCCTACTTCTGTGCCTAAGCATAAAGTTTAATCCCTATTTCGTGTGACCTTTCAAGTACTCTGAAACCATCATATCTCAGCTTAGTTTTCTCTTCCCCAAGCTAAATATCACCAAGTCCTTCAGCCATTCCTCATATGGTATTAATGAAAGGCTCTTCCCTATCCATATTGCCATCCTCTGTGCACTCTTTACTTTATTGGTGTTCTCATTAAAATGCAGTACTTAGATAGGAACACAATGCTTGAGGTGTATAGTCTGATCTTGCCAGTATACAATGGAACTATACTGCCCAGAATTGCCTTTATTTTCTTGGCTTCTATGTCACTCTGTTGAAACATTAATCTTGTGGTCCACTAAAATCCTTACAACTTTTTTTGAAATACAAATTGCTATCTAACCACACATTGCCTATCTGAAATTTAATTTTAAAAAAACCACATGGACAACTTTACTTTTTTCCCTATTAAATTTCATCTTGTAGATTCAGTCCAATATTCTAGCCTGTTGAAATATACAAACAAAATGTTCACTATATCTCCTAGTTCCATGTCATCTGAAATTGTGATAAGCATACACTATACCTTCATCCAAGTAATTATTAAAAAATGTGAAACAGTCCAGAACCAAAAACAGACACATAGGACACTTTAAGAGATTTAATTTATATTATCCCTTTAATGACTACTCTTTGGATCCATTTCTCAGTAAGTTCTGAACCCACACAACTGTCCTGTTTGTTGTCCAGCTAGCACCTCCCTCAAGAAATTCAAATTGCTCACTATGATTATCCTTATCCAGTCACAAGCACCTTAGAGATGAAAATATTTTAGTGGAATTTTTCCCAATCAAAAAAAAATGAAGAAATTCTCTTCAGATTTTATCAGTAAGAATACCAGAATCCACTTTTAGTCTGGATCCCCAGATTTTATATTTATAATGAATGATTGATAAACTCAAGTATGGGAGTTCACCACTATTCTTGTTGGACCTGACTCAAGCCAGTCTTCTGTTAGTTCAAGTTTAGTATTGGAACAAAAGAAGATATTCAAAAAACCATTCAACAGTTAACAAAAGGCTATTTACTTAGCCACAGCAAGCTTAGGAAGGCATCAAGGACACCTTTGGCTTATTTAATTGAGAGAAGCTCTCTTGTCTGAGTAAACCATAGTTTTTCACCATCCAATCATCAGAGAAGTACTTGAGCTCCTCGTTGGCTGCTTTGTACTCAGGTGAGATAGAAATGATTTCAACATTCTGAGGTTTTAGTCCTCTAGTTCAATCAAGTCTCAAGGATGGTTTTGATACCTTACAAGGAAAAATTATCTTACTTTGTACCATGGGATGTGGTTAGGATATTGTTCCTACCCTAACCATATTCCCTCCTATAGGTCATTTGGGGAAAAGCTGATTTTAAAAGTAGCCTCCCATTAGAGCAATGGAAAATAGAGTTCTCTGAAGGTAGTTAAGCACATACAGCAAAGATAGGATGCTGGCCCATTTCTTATCTACCTCTAAGCACTTCATGTATTTACCTGATCTAGTAATTTAAATTTTCTATGTCATTTTGCCAATTTATGTCACTTTCCTGGCTTTTTTCTAACTACAGTGACATTATCCTCATCTAGTAGACACTGAAGAACTATATGACATGTTTGAGAAACAGAATTAGAAAATTGCCAAAGATAGCAAAACATAGAAATAATCAATGTTGAAGGTGCCATGCTAAGATATGTACATTAGTATGCTGTGGATAGAGCTGTGACTTGATCCAACCATTCTGGGAAGTAATTTGAAATTGTGTTTTTAAAAAATCACTAAGATGCTCAAACCCTTTGACCTTCAGACACCATTTTTAGACACATACCAAAAGTCTCATATACATCAAAATAGTCATATAAGCGCTTTCTGTGGTAGCGGGAAAAAAAAGCTGAAAACAATTGAGAAATGACTAAATAAATTATACTCATATGTAATGGAACATTATTGCACCATAAGAATTAAAATGTGAATGAAGAATTCAGATAAGCAGAAAAAGATATATGAACTGATGCATAATGAAGTAATCAGACTTAGAGAAAATATATATATAACTATGTGAAAGGACAGAAGGGACAAAATGAAACTGAATGCTACATAATTATAATGACCAAGCTTGAGTCCAGAAAAGAGTTGAGAAAATTCATCTCTTCTTTTCATTACAAAAGTGGGAAAATTATATTGTTATAAAATATAACAACATTAGACACAATGAATGCATTGTTCAGTTTTGCTGAATTGTTTTTCCCCTTTCTTTTTAATCTTTATTAAAAAGAATGGATTTCTGGGTAAGAGAAGGAAGCTATATATTTGAAAATAAGTGAGATATAGAAATAAAGTCATCAATAAAAATGAGATAACAAATTTTAAATGAGGAATTTTTTAAAGAAAAAAGAGAGGAGTATTGAAGTCCTCTAGTCAATTCTCTTACAAAATTGTGAGGACAACGTATGGTAATGTCTGTCTCCTCAAAGCATTCTTATCTTAACTTCAGAAAAAGATGGCTTTCTGTTGTCTTCTGAAAAGAAAGGGATAAAACCCATGTTTTCCAGAACAAGCAACGTCCCCAAATTTAAAAGCTGAATATATCTTTTTCTCACTACCTTAAAATTTGGTCTCCCCCTCTAGTCTTTCCTGTCACGCTTTCTTGAGACACATTGGCTAGGAAAATAATCACTTCACTGCAAATGATTAATTTTTTTCTTAGTATATATTATATTTAGAAGTGAAAACTTGAGTTTTATTTCAATTACTTTATTATCTTAGCAAACAGAGCAAATTCACTTACTTTGATTCCCTTCCAAGAATTTATATGATTTGAAGTCTTTGTCAATGTGGATTTAAATGGAAAGACATTCAATGAAAAGCAACTGGCATATAGCAGATGCTTAATAAATGTTCGTTAAATGGTTACTATTCAAAGGCTTTTAAGGGTTTAATTTACATGGATAAAACAAAATGGAGTTAACACTGGTTGAGATAAAGCTTATAGTATTTGTTGCTGAATCTATTGGTATATACTTATGGAAATGGAAAATATGCCACTTCTACTAAAATCAAAACTAAAGAAATCACAAATAGCCTTAACATTACCATCCACGAAAGTCTGTTCAAGATAATCAATGATCTGAGTTGCCTCACAAAGAATGTTTTCCCCGTGGATAAGGACAGGCACTTCTCCAGAAGAGTTCAAACGCATAAACCATGGTTCGTTGTGTTCACTCAGGGGCAGACTTACATCATGTTCCTCACACTTCAGTTTCTTTTCAGCAATTACTAAGCGCACCTGAAAGAGTTCACATTGGTTACAAAAGTGTGTTTATTCTGGATGAAATTACTTCTCTTGATTCTACAAAGCATCTTCTGAATCCCTTGTGAGTCATGTCTTTGTAATTGCAACCTAAATATCTAAAGACTGTGGGGAAAGTACTGATAAAGTTTACGTTTCTCGTTTTTATAACCTACTGAGGTTAGTTTTTATAATACTTGCCTTCTTATTCTAAAGTCCTATTTTATGCATAATTCAATGCAAAAAGCTTTTATGAAGCACCTTCTATGTACAAAGCACTGAGCTAGGCTCTCAGAATCAAAAACAAAAATGGAAACCAGTCGCTGTCCTCAAGGATCATATGCAATCTAACCCTACCACAAACCCCGTCTGATTCCATCTGGACAAGCCAAAGACATTGCCAAGAACCTGAACCTAGGGTAAATAATGCTGTATAAGGGTAAGGAGGAGAGCAAGGAGAAGAAGCAGAGTGGGAAGAGGTGGCATTTAGAAGTTAGTGTTCGAGCAAGATTATAATTACTTTAATTGAGAAGTGAAGTGGCTTCTTTGACCCTTTTCTCCTAACTTTCCACCTTATAGTTGCTATTCCTACAAAAGGCCAGGCTTTTAAGGCCTATAAATCTGTGCTGCTTCTGTCGCATTTATGGCTAAATAGGGCACATCCACTTCATTCCTTGGGTTGATTTTTCTTCGCTCTTGTCCAAAGGACCAATAAAAGTCCAAACTGAAGCGGCAGAGGCGGGTGGTGGCCGCCTCCCCAGACAAGATGGACTAGCATAAATGAGCAACCCAAGGGAGCTGTCCCGGTGCTGAAACCCAATACTCGATTCCAAGGCCTCCCCGAACATTTACCTTTTGGGAACTAAAGGAATGAGTCCAGTGGTAGAGAACGAGCTTAACCTCTGAGTCGGATTCCCCTTTAGTCGGCGGCACAGTCCCTGCTTGCTCATCTTTCCTCAGAGCCATTTCTGAGAGTGTTTATCTCTCCTCTTCCACCCACACTGCTCTGCGCTTTGTCCTTTTTTACTGATTCCTCCCAAGGAAGAAAAAATTGAGTTCTTGCTTTCGAAAAGGCTACTGGGAACTGTAGTTTTTTGCCTCTGAATATGCAAAGGCTCCCAGTTCCACTAAATCTGGAGAAGCAGAGTACTACCTAGGTGGGTTAAGAGATGACAATTCTGCTACCAAATAGTTTACCAAGCTTAGCTGAATCTGTAGCTTTTCAAATGTGAATGTAAGCATAGAAACCAAAAGGCAGAACCAATAACACCAACTACAAATTTCCCATCACTCAAGGGGAAAGTTTTCCTCTTGGCTTGGGGTTACAGCTAATTGCCGGGTGTCTGTTCAGTGGCAAAGCAACTACCGGAAAGGAAGTAGAAGAGTGAAGTTTTATCTTGGCCACTAAGGAGCTGTAGCATTCTTTTACACGTGGAAAATCTATTTTTAAACAAAAAATATATGTCATTTACATGTGAGGCTGTTTTTACTACATGGCATTCATTGTTATACCATAGTTACTGTCAAAGTCTTTGGAGCAGTGGTAAAGTATCATTTTGCCCAAAATACTACCTTGTTGTCTTAGGTTTGTGTTTTGTTTTATTTTGGATTTTTTGTTTTGTTTTGTTTTGCAACTGTTGCTTCATAGTGTTCACAAGCATCTTGCTGATTATTTTTCTTCTAGTCCTTATAAATAAACATAACATTAAAGAAATGTTTTATAGTATTAATATTTTACTTAAAGGAAATACAGAGACTATCTGGTCTCTGATTTGTATAAACCAACCCATAATCTGTTATGCATATAGCCAAAAATCAAATTGACTTTATTTACAAATTTAATATTTCTACTTCACCTGACCTTCAGTTCTCCATCCATAATATGACCACTAATAGTCATAGATATAGATACCTCCATTGTAATAAATTGCTATCAAATTTGCATTTCTACTTTCTAAATATTTCCTTGTCATCTTTTTTTAGAATTTTTACCGATATATGGCCTTGAACTTTAGTGTTATTATAGTTAATAAGAGGCAGCATGGCCTTGGCATTGGCATTGACAATGAGCCAGCTGCAAGGTGAGGAAAACATGATTTCAAGTCCTGCCTCTGAAACTCACTGTGACTCTGGGAAAGTCATTTAATAACATTTCAGTGCCCCTCGAGTAACTCTCTAAAACTCTAAATTGCACAGCACATGTCCTTTTGTCTCATACTGGGAGTTTCCTCATTGGACATTCCCTATACCAGTGAATAATGATTAGCATTTGTATAGCACTTTAAAGTTTGAAAAGTGCCTGGCACATGTTATCTCATTTGATTCTCACAACAACCCTGTGAAGTAGATGCTACTATTCCTATTTTGCAGATAAGGAAACTGAGGCTCAGAGTCACAAGCCAGTAAGTGACAAAGGCAGAACTTGAACGAAGATCTTCCTGCCTCCAAATCCACCACTCTAGCCACCAAGCCATCTTAGCTATGAAATAACAAATCTGATTCAAAAGAAAAGTTATTTTTTTGCATGTTGTCTAATGGATTTATCTAATTTCATTTGCTGTTATCAATCTCTTTTATTTTGCTATCAGTCTATATTTTAGAATTGTTTAATAGTTTAGTCATTCATTCAACAAATATTTACTGAATGATACAAGGTGACATGAGTTTGGACATCTTTTTATGAGACCATTTCCAGCTCTAAAATTCTAGGAATATATTAAATAAGCTCTAGAGAGGTAACATTTAATTAATTCACACTAAAATAACTACGCTATCCCCTCTTTTGAGAAAGTTGGAGTGGAGGGAAACTTTAGGGAGAAAAAAGGAGCTGTAAACTGGGAAAGTGGGCAAGGGAAGGGGCTCAGAAATAAATTGTTCCTACCACACAAATGTGCTTATACTAACCCTAGGTGTGATTAATTTCCTGATAAGGCTAAAAATACATTCACCACTGTGCAAAATTATAAGATTCTTAAGACACACAAAGAATGACCATAGAAATTAGAGCTAGAAGGGACTTCTAGAGATCACTTAGTCCACACCTTCATTTCACAGATGAGGAAGATGAGAGACTACAATGTAAAGTGCCTTACCCAAGTTCACCCAGGTCGTAACAAAGCCAAGACTGAAACAGGTGTTTCAACTCCAAACTCAGTACTCTTTCCATTATGTAATACTAGATGAAGGCAAGTTACACTATCTCAACCACATGAGAATTAAAAATCTCTAAAAAACAAGATTTTGTTTCATTCTGCATTTTTCTAAAATAAGTAATTTAATAGATTTCATTTTTCCACAAAATCAACTGATTAATCTGGGATTGTGTATTCCAGCAGTGTCAAACTCAAGTAGAAAGAGATCCCTATGGATCACATATTAACTTAGAAAACCACAAATTAACATTATAAATTAATGTATCTTATTTATTTTGTTAAATATTTCCCTAATTAAATTTCAATCTGGTTTAGGCCCCACTCTGGAGTTTTGAAGTTCACTTGCCACCTTCAGGCTATGAGTTTGATATTTCTGCCACAGAAACAACCTCACCAAGATCCAGAAATGTTCTTATCTTTGCTGTAAAACTAAGTCTTGGATTGGAGTTTGGTGCCTGGTATGCCAACTTAAGTAAAAGAAGGCTATTAGAAAATTCATGAATAATAAAAAAAAATTTATAACAGATATCTCCAGATGGGTATAATTTCTCCCTTCTCTGAACCCTCACAATTTTTTTTCATAACTCATTACACTAATTAAATTAAATCTTATACCATAAGTATTTATCATTTGCTTATCATATACCCAGGTACCCTTTTAGATTATGAGTTTAATATTGGCAAACCATCCCAGCATCTTTGCTAAGAAAACTTTAAATGTAGTCATGAAAAATCTGACACAACTGAATGAGAATAAGAAATAATTTTAATAGGAACCATATCTTACTCATGATTCTGTCCACCTGTTGTAACTATAATTAAATAAAATATCATTGATGAATTGAATTTAATAGATTATTAATAAAGTTAGGAATGTTTGATATATATCTCAAACCACTAAGGAGGCAACTATCACTTTCTTCCATAGAAATCCCTTTGGTATGACTGTCAGAAACAGACTACTAAACTGACAGACAATTAGTTCAAGCCAACATAAAAAGGCTTATGTTATCATGTAATTCAAAAACAGATACTATAGTTTCTATGCCATGATATACAGGCATTTTTCTAAAGAGAATCAGACCTGAAAATTGTTTTTAAAAATCGTTCTATTGTTTGCAGAAGTCAATAATGTACTTTTATAAATGACCACAAGAGGTCCCTATTTTCCTAAAAATAAAGCAAAGTTGTTTGAAAACTGTAGAAAATTAATGTTGATCTTTGAATCATAAATTTAAACAACCTTATAGTTGAAGACAATAATAGCAATTCGTATCTTAACTAATTTGATGGTTTTTGCCAATAAGAGATAGAGATACTATGAGATACTGTTTTTCTTTTTAAAAGGGGACCATTAGCTTAGCAAAACCTGTGACCAGACAAACCTTAATCATGCACTGTCCTTCTTTGAAAATAAAGCTTCTGACTCATCAGTAGAAAACTCCCTTTGAGCTATTTCCATTGGTGGTAGATTTTCAATTATCTATTTTGCTCTATTCCCAATGTGACCAACAATATTAATAATATCTTACATTTAGATAATACTTTAGAGAGACAATACAACATGACACAGTGGATAAAGAGCTAGCCTCAAAGCCAGGAGTAGTCAGTCAGTCATTAAACAGCTATTAAGTGCCTACTATGTGCCAGGCACTAGCCTAAGTACTGAGGATGCAAAGAAAAGTAAAAGACATTCCCTGCTCTCTAGTAACTCACAATTTAATGGAGGAGACAAGATGAAAGTAACTAGGTTGATCTTGATTTGAGTTCTTCTGACACAGTGACAATGTAACCCCATGGTGGTTCTTTCACCTTTTAGCTCTCTGGGCAACTCTCTAAGATCAC